TAATTTGGGAAGGACCTGATGATATCTTCCACATCTTCTGTCTTCTAAGGACAGACTTTGTTTCAGGAGAGAAAGGCTACTGCATGTCTGACAGCACATGCATTAGGAAAACTCAGGGGTCTTCTGCCCCCAGAGCAAGAGAATCACTGTGGCTCTGTGAAGTGGCCACTCAGGCCACCTGCAGACCACTAACTCAGCATTGGCTTTAGCATAAGTGTTTTGATCCCCACTGGAGATCCAGTGGGACCTTGGAGACTTCTGAATGCCACATCCCTGTTAAATAGCTCCCTTAGCCAAGGAGGTAATCCATCATTGAAGGCTTTCTAGCCAAAGTTGGACAGTCATGGTCTGGGGATTTCTGCCCTGGACAGGGGGTTTGGATTAGAAGACCTTCAAGGTCCCTTTCCACCCAAGGATTCCATGATCCATCTTTTGTATTTCTTGGAGCTGGAAAAAAGAGACCTGCACACTTTCTACCAAGGACAGAAATCACGGACTTCCCGTCCACCTTCCAGAAGCTCTGCTGTATTGGCTTGCTCTGAAATAACATTTCTCCATCTGCCAAAACACAAACAATGGAGTGATTATTTCCTTGGCTAAAGACATATTGAACCATATGTGATGCCTTCTACCACTTAAAAGACAAAATCTTGACAGCAACATTCATGAAATAGTGTGCACACACCTAGTGTGTATGGATGTGCTCAGCAAAGAACAACAGTCTTGGCCACCACAACATTTAGCTTCTAGAGGGGTCTTTGGGGGGAATTGAGGTAAACTCTGGGACCCTGCAAGGAGAAGCACCCCAAAGAAAGAAGGGCAAAGGAGAGAGAGGTCTGTCCCTGCTCTATAGCAGAGGAGCGTCTGCAGGCAGGAAGGCTGGCCTTCCTGTTTGTTCGCCCATTTCTGTGGCCCTGAATTCTGTCCCTCTTGGCCTCTTTGGGTCTGGAGTGGGAAGTCCTACAGGAGCAAAAGATGGCCAGAACCCGTTCTGGGGATGGAAGCAGAGGACTTGGTCAGGTGTTGGCCCTGAAGGGGGATACTGGGGTCATCTCTCACTTCCATATTCACAGGAGAGAAATCTGCGGTCCCAACGCCATCGACATTGAAGTCACACCTATCTGGAAGTTGCTTGTCAAAGAGGTACTTTCTTTTCTACGGATCAGCTTCTCTGGCATAGTCTGTGGATCAAGGCAGAGGCTGTGGGTCTTCGGCTTCCCTTTCATCACCATGCAAAGGGCAGCGGGGAAGACTGGCATCTAGTGCAAATGTGACATCTGGGGTGGGAGGGGGGGAAAACAGTGGAAGCTTGCTAACAATATGGATGGTGGTCATCCACCCACATAGGCAGCCTGGGACTTTGGGAAACCTCCAGGGCTGCTCTGGGTGCCCTGCTGTGCAGTGGACGGTGGGCCCAAGTCCAGCCTCGCTCACCTCCCATCCGTCATCCTCCTTTTCATTTCTCCTTCAAAAAGCTGCAGTTTATTCGAAAACCTCAGTTGTGTGCGTGATATTAGATCTGTCTGTAGGAAATGAAATGGGATGGGTTTCCAGGATTAAATCATCTTGTGCTTTTGCAGAAGTGGCTTTCCCACAGCGCGTAAGTCAGTAAGACAAGAAAGGCTGTGTTTATTCAACGTCCTTAACTAAGTCAGATAAAGACCAAGTTGATATTTTTGCATAACATACTAAACCTGTTGTTTGCTGACCGTTGTTTAGCGCCAGCTGTTGTTTGTGACTTTGCCTGTTGTACGAACCGTTCCCGTTTGATTCATTTATTCTACAGACCAGAAAAAGGGTTAATTCAGTAGCCAGCTTAAGCATGCTGCATGAAGGCAGCTATTGTATGTATTGTGAGGAGGGGAAGGTCAAAAACAACACCGCTCCAGGAATGGTGCTCAGGGGAACACATACCTGCACTGTGGTTTTGTTCTGAGGCTAAATGAAGATCAAGCTCAGCTTGAAGGCAAGAGTGGCGGTCAAAGTGAGTTCTTCCGCACGAGTCTCCCCAGAACAAAGGGAGCTGCTGGGATGCTGAGCTGCACAGAGAACTGTGCAGCTTTGGGGGGAAGGCAACCTTGTGCCCCCCAGGAAGGCAAGAAAGGATACTCTTCAGGATAGCAGGAACTATCAGGAACCGATGCACCCGTTCTGATCTTCAGATCTGTCCCACTGAGGGGTCATCATATATCCCTGCATTCATTGGCCTGATTTCTAGCCTCAGAGAGAATGTTGGCTGCAAGAAGTCACAATTTCCTTCTAAACCACTTATTCCAAATGCCTGCAGGGCAGAAGGCTCTCAGAGCGCTTTGGGTAGAGATATTGCAGCTCTTTAGACTCCTTTGGAAGACGGAAGATCTTGTCTGAGTTTTACATTTTGTGCTACCAGGTACATGGCTCAGTGCCAGCATTTAGGTGGCATCTCTGGTTGGACAACTTCCCAAAGGCCAAACATTCTTGTTAGGTCTTCTAAACTGAGGCATGATGCTGACACAAGCAGCTTTCCTTCTAGTTTCCAATTGTGCACTAATGATGCCTGGTTCAATGGTGAGGGTTTATTCTGAATGAAAGCTGGTTAAAAGTTGCACGATGCTGCCGAGTAGATTGGCAGTTCAACCTGATGGCCATTCTACTACGGACCTTGCAGATGCAATCAACCTGCTGCTGTTGTCGCTTGCTGGCACGTGCTTCTGGATGTGTTCCAACACGGATGGGTGGAAGCCTTGCTGGCACAGGCTTCTGGAACCTATCTGTGCTTTTAGAAAATACCTGTGACATGCAAGGCTGAGAAGGTTTACAGGCTTTCTTGGTATCCAATTTTCTTTTTTTCTATCATGCCTAGAAACAGGTTACTTCTGGTTGCTGGACTCTTTTATTGCTCAGCAACATGGTGGTGCAGAGTTTGACTCTCTGCCCCGCTGGAATCTGGCATGCCATTCCATTCTCTTTCCCACTAACGCCAGGGCAGACCAAAGACCTCGTCTACAAGGGTCAGTTCAGCAACGAACAGAGACTTGCCATCTTCAAGGCATCTCATTTTGATACTTCATGGTACTAAAAAAAGAGCAGTGGTGTCACCATTGATTCTAGACCTCAGCGATTTAAAGAACTTCGTTATTCCTTGAAAATTCCTTTCACTCCTGATAGCAGTTTCTCTCAAGTGGCGGAGAGGCCACCAAATGTATAATGTGAATTTTTTGACACCTTGTGTCTTATACAGACAGCTGAGCACAGCATTTCCCAACCTTGGCAGCTTCTAGATTTGTCGATTTCAGCTTCCAGAAACCTTGGCGATTACTATGCTGGCTCACGTTGTAGGTGGACAGCTGTGTTAGTCTAATAGCAGCCAAAAAACAGGAGTCTGGGAGCACTTTTTCAGACTAACCAATTTTATTAAAAGACATATTGGGATGGTGGTTTTAATCTTTGCCCACCACCCAGTGTCACTGTAGTGAGACGGCTGGCTTTATAAATCAAGCAAACAAGCAAGCCTGATCAGTTAGCAATTGTAGTGTGCTAAAAGCCCATTGTGTTTGTTGAGTCCTTCTAAGATTGCCTGAAATCTTTTGATGTCTGTGAGTTCAGCAATCTCTCTCTTGATAGTCCTGCAATTTTTCTTTTTTCCAAGTTGGTTATATTGAGATTTGAGATCCGTGGTGGCGTGTCCTAGAAGATTGAAATGCTCTGATATTTCTTTGTCCTCGTGCATCTTAGTCATTCCGTGGTGGCTCTGTGCAACTGTGCTTTGTGGACCATCTTCAGACAGCAGAAACAATCTCAGCTGATTCCCCCTTTGAGACAATCTCCTGTCTTGGTTTGTCCACCGTTCACCTGGCAACAGCCTGGACACTTCGTCCTCCTCACCAGCTTCCTTTTTGGTACAGCAAGTACTGGAGACCTCCTATAACTCCAAATGGAAAGCCTTCTGAAATGTTCCCACCACAAGCTTTCCCCCCCACTTTTGTTGCTTTTATAGATTGCACCCTGCAGTTTTTGTCAAGCACAGATATCTTCTAGTTCATCTCTAAAGGTTTATTTGACCGCTGTCTCCACGAACTATGCTCCTGCTCCCAACTGTTAAAAAGTTCAGATCTAGTCTGCACAACCGTTCCAGACCATTAGGTCCCTGACATCTCAGGGTATCCTTTGGTAGCGTTCCCTCTTTGAGACAACGGCTCATTAATCCTGCAGTTCTTAATATGGATGTGACTCTTCTGGTGGCAGTCACCCTCAGCATCAGGGCCAGTGAATTTTCAGCCCTGCGGATTGACCAGTCTTCCCTGATCTGGCTTGGGTTATCTCTGCACTGATGTCTCACCTTCCTGCAAGGGTTTCTGCTCACTGCCAAGGGCCTTTTGACACAGAGGAACTGAGAGGATTTCGGTGGGCTGATGCTCTGTAGGCAGCGGTGGTCTGGGGGCTCCTACCAATGCAGCTTAGCCAGAGAACGTTCCATTCTGGGTAACTGGTCTGCATAGATGCAAACCCACCCATGTACCCATGCAGAGGATCCCTGGTATAATCGCAGCAAAGGTAAGTATCCTGCTGTTTTCTGGGAGCCAGATTAGCAGTTCAGTCAACAAAGGATTTATCCACCCAGTTCTCGACAGAACATCCTGTCTTTTCTGGATCAGCAATTCCTGTTTCTGCAGCTGCTGGGCAATTCCTATGAAGATTTTCTGAACCTAGTCAAGTCATTCAATGTTAATTAAAATTCTGCTTGCAAAAAGGCCTCAGGAGATTCCAAATTAATCCTTTCCTACAGGGCCTTGTGGCTTTTCTTGGTGCCGCTGGGAGCATGGAGCGGGGAGCAGCCCCTGTGTTCAGCCATGCTTGTGGGGCCGTCTGAGGGCCGCATAGCTTCCTTGGCATGGTGCAGGTTCAACGTGGTGCTGTCTGTCTTTAGCTAGGCAAGGGATCAAGAATTGCGCTCCATTTAAAATGTGCAAATGTCTGGCCTGCTGTATCAGGTCCACCACTGATACAGCCTTTCTAGCCATTGACTCCCTCCTGGGTGTTACAGTTTCTATTTTTTAGAATGTATTTTAATAAGGATTCTAACATACAAAGTGATTTAAAAATTATGTTAACCAATCATAATCAGAAATAATAATATGGAAGAAGAACCTGTAGTTTAAAAAGAATAGGGCTTGTCTCTTCTCCAGTGAAGATACACTTGGGGGATCTCAATTGTTTAAATAATGAAGTAATCAAAATGTCTTGTAATGCATTAAAACCTAAATGTTCATGAAGAAATCATGGGGATCTAACCTTTAAACATTATTTGGACGTAACCTTGGTAGCTTTTCTGATGTGCTGCTCAGTGCTGGCCTGAGAAGGTTTGCTCGCTGAGCTATAGGCAGGTGGATTCTTGTGTAGAAGGACTGTGAGGCGTGTTGGGTGCTCCTGCCCAGAAAAAATCCCTGAGGTCTGCATAAGGACATGCAAGGGGTCTTCTCCACCCCAGACTCCTGTCCTAGGGGGTCTCAGGGCTTCCTAAAAGAAGGAAGCCGTGGTTGGCCTGCTCAGCCCTGGCATCGGGGGGGAAGGGAGCCTCCATGGTGTCTGGGGTGGAGCTGTGCCCAGCCCTCTTGGGAGTGCCTCAGCACGGTCAAGACAGGAAGTGTGTGCCCGGGAAGCTACAGGTGCCTCCCTAACCACCTGATGCCTTCTTTTCTTTCACAGGTGCTCCACCCATTTTACATCTTCCAACTCTTCAGTGTCTGCCTGTGGTTTGCAGAGGGTTACATTGAGTACTCCGTAGCCATAATCATCATGTCCCTCCTTTCCGTTTCACTCACTGTATATGATCTCAGAAAGGTGAGCACCCTACCTGTCCCTCCCTGGTCACCAAAAGGTCTTCTCTTCCCACTGTCAGCCTTAGGCGTTGATCAGGAGCTGATGAGTTCATTCCTCAGTCGCTGCCCAGGATGTTCTGCCTCATCTTCCCTGAATGACCTGTCGTGATGCTGCTGCCCAGGATTTGCCCAGGCCCACAGGAACTCAGATTTATAGAGAGGGTGGTGGAATGGCGCCATTAAAAGAATGGCTGCCAAAGAGATGGACTGCCACCCAGATGCTTCATGGATCTGGATGAATTCTGCCGGGTGCCAGGAATCTTGGGGGCAGTTCCTGATTGCCCACTGGGAACAGGAGGTGACCCGGATGCAACAAAATTGCTCTAAAGGACAGATCCTGGATAGCCCCTTGGTTTACCAAGGAATTCTAGAAGATGAAGTAGCACGAGTGAACCTGGAAGAAGACAAGACGATGTAATGGTATGTGGGAATGGCCTTAGGAGACTGGGCCCAGAGACACTGCCTAGGGACTAGTCAGATAAGAGACAGCATAGCCCACAGCTGGATAGTGGGCGGGGCAATTTCTTGGGGATAAAGGAGATGGCGGGAGTGTTGTACCTTCAGACTTGCAAGATTCTGTTAATGTAACCTTACAATAAAGTAGAATTAGCTCATCTGGCCGTGTTTCCTGTCTGGTCTACCTGATAAGGCTGACCGATGTGAACTTGATCAGGCATGAGGGTTTGGGTCAAGTTCGAGATCACCCGTGGCAATAACAAAGTGTCACTGTTTCTCCTCCCAAGGAAAACTGATGCTGACCTTCATTTCTGCAAAGTATGAAGTAGAGTGGAGGTTCACGGGCTCCTGAGCAGCCCTCCTTTAGAAACAATCTTGAGGTTCACAGTTTTAGCCTTCCAGAAACTTCTGGATTCTGTGTTTCTCTGGGTGGCCTGTGGGAGGTGACAGGACAGCAGGACTGATTGGTTCTATTCTGCTTTGAGGTTTGATGGTTCTGTGTGTCTCTTTCCTGTGGATTTTGACGGCCTTTGGTTTTCTTGATGCTCTTAATTTCCATAAACCATCAAGAGTCTGGTTGATTAAAAAGATAGATAACCAAATGGTGGCTTAAAACAAAGAGCCCCAACCTCACCTTGAAGCCTGGGCAGTTCTTAGTAAGAACTCCCCTGGTGTGCTGCCAGGCAGCTCGGATGAGACTGAACATGGCTGAGGGCAATGACAATACACAGGAGCCTTCAGACCCTTCACCTGCACTCCGCTGGAGCCCTCAGAGCAACCCTGGTCTTCGTTCTTGACTTCATTCTGGAAAACTGCCAAGAAAGGGATTGTGGCTGGCATGCCATCTCCAGTCACCTGATACCAACCCATCGGGGTAGTCCAGACAGGAAACCAATACTATGAGTACTAACACTACCTTCATTGTAAGATTATAATAACAGAATCTTGCCAGTCCGAAAGCACATCTCTCCTCCCTTGCCTTTATTTTCCAGAGAAGTAGAGAGGCTCCCTTCTGAGACGCTTCCCACGCCCCATTCCTTCTGTGGGCTGAAATGTCTCTTATCTGACCATCGCCCTGGGTGCAGCTCTTCTTCCTCCTCTCTCTCAAGGATATTCCCATAGACCATTACACCTTAGCTGCTGGAACCTTTCCAGCAGGCTGGCAGAGGTCTTACCCATCTGCCCACTGGTTGGCACGTCCCCCTGTCCCCATTCTTTCCTGATCTGATTCTCCCTTTCCTTCCAACACAGCAATCAGTGAAGTTGCACCAGCTGGTGGAATCCCATAATAGTGTCCTGGTCAAGGTGTGCAGGAAGCAGACAGGTAAGTCCAGTGCCCAAGAGGACTCCATCATCCTGCTCATTTTGCCAGTGTCTCTGCCAGGGATGAGAGAGAGCAACGAGGGGAGCGCTGGGGAGGAACCAACTCTTGCTAGATTCCCATGGGCGGCGGGCCTGCCTGGAAGAGGCAGCAGCCTCAGGGCACCCCATCTCTGCGTGAGGAGCAGCGATGCAAAGGCTGGCGCCAAGCTGCCCACCTAGACTGGGACTGTGAATGGCTTGTGCAGAGTCAGGCAAAGGAGGCACGGGGTTCCTGGGCTTAGCTCAGAGAGAACTGAGGATCTGCAACGCAGAGACTGCAGCCTTTGGAGTGACCGTGCAGAGGCTGCTCTGCAAAGACCCTCCCTTTTCTGGCAGGCATCCAGGAGATAGAGTCACGCCATTTGGTGCCTGGAGACACCCTGATCCTGGACGAGGGCAAAAGTCTGTTGTCCTGCGATGCCATCCTGGTCAGTGGGCAGTGCGTTGTGAATGAAGGCATGTTAACGGGTAAGCAGTGCTGGTTTGATGGTCTTTACAACTGCTTGCCCCAAAGTGGTAGCGTAAAGCGCTGAAGCAGCTTCCCCAATGGGGGGTGGGTCTGGGTCAGTGGAGGGCACTACAGCTCCCCTCCTGGCAGCTATGTCCAGCACGTCTGGTCAGAGTGAAGCGGGGGGGGGGGAGATTTGCTTTGTAAGCCTGCTTTAGTGGGGTGGAGTGCTCCGTCTGGAAAGGGGACATCTGCGGACATGAAATGCAGAGAGATGCAGAAAGGGAATCCTTCTGGTGAGGAAGTCCAATGAAACCTGAGCGGTTTCTGGGAACATTCTGAGTCTGCAAAATAAGTTGGCTTTGATATTGCAATATTGGAAATTATGAAGAACATGATTGTGTCCTTTATTTTCTTTGTTTTTGTCATATCCATGTACAAAGTATTATAGGGGATCCATATGAATAAAAATATGCCATTCATATTGTTAATACAGGTAGTCCTCGACCTATGACCATTTGGTCAGGAACTGTTCCAAGTTACAACGGCACTGAACTAATGGTGGTTATGACAGGTCCTCAGACTTCTAGCCATCCCAGCACCTCCATGGTCACGTGATCACGATCTGGGTGCTTGGCAACCCATTTGCATTTATGACCAGTTGCCAAGTGCCCCGGGATCACATGATCGCCATTTGCAACCTTCCTTGTCAGCTTTCCCAGAAAGTCGATGGGGAAGCTGGCAGGGAAGGTCGGAAGTCGCTGGGGTAAGTCTCCCCACCTGTGCACCTTCCCCCAGCCCCTCTGCACTCACGTTGCGCCAGCCACTCACGTATCCTCCCCAACCTTTGCCATGCCTCCTTTGCACCCTCATGCACCCCCTTGCACCCCCTGCACGTTCCACAACCCGCACGACACTTCCCTTGCACCCCCGCGCACCCTCCCTGACCTATGCAGCGCCTCTCACACGCCCTCCCTGATTCCCCCTGACCTGCGCCATGCCTCTTGCGCACCTCCTCGCACCTCCCTGACCCTCCCCAGTCTGCACCATGCCTCTTGTGGACTCCCTTGCACCCTCGTGCAACCTTCCCGATCCATGCTGTGCCTCTCATGCACCCTCATGCACCCTTCCTGACCTGCGCCACACCTCTCACACACCTCCTTGCACCCTCGTGCACCCTACCTGACCCTCCCCCAGACACCCATACACTCCCTCGCTCCCTCCCCCACCTGGCAGCAGCCGCTCACCGGCCTGCAGGCCTGAGACTTGTGGCTTCCTGCCAGCTTCCCCACCGACTTTGATTGTGGGAATTGGTAGGAAGTTGCCTCACCTAACAACTGTAGGATTCAGTTAACAATGGCAACCGGGATTGCAGGGATTTCCATCACTAAGCAATGCGGTCGCCCTTTACGACCGCATCGCTTAGTGACAGAAATTCTGGTCCCAATTGCCACTGTAAGTCAAGGACAACCTGCAACACAAAATCACAATAAATCAATACAATTCAGCAAAGTGGGCACATTGTATAGAAAGAGGGGGCAGAGCAGGAAAAGCAACAACCGCCAAGTGCAGGCCAAGGAAAGTGGACCCTGGATCCTGGCCTGCTTGCCACCCTGAACGAAGGAAACGTCTCCTGCCAGCCGAGCCAGAAGAGCGCAGGGCAGCGCTGAGTGGCCCTCTCCAGGACAGCCTCTGTCCGGGGGGCTGGCGGAGCCAGGAGAGGAGAGGACCTCTGGTCTCAGGTTCCAGAGGGTCTGTAAGCTCCCCACAGCAACAGAAGTCACCCAGTTTGGGTTGTGAGAGATGGGGTGTGGAACAGGACAGCAGCGGCAGGCCCAGCTGCTTCCTTCAGGAGGAGAACTTGGCTCTCAGCCGGGTGGTGCCTTTGGCCAACGTTGCCTCCGCTCAGCGGGGCTGCCTCAGGAGCGCGTGCCACCCTTTCTGTAAAGCTGCAATGGAGGGAGACGCATCACTGCAGAATTCTGCTTTCCTATTTTCAGCCCACAAGTGTGGGTCAAGATTAGGGCAACCGAGAACCCAGCTTCCATTAAAGGAAGACATGGGCGCACGCGAACCAGCTGCTAAGCCTTAACCGGTCTCTCTCTGCACCCGTGGGGGTGCCTGGGGGCAGGGGGCAGGGATGGACTCCCTTTCCTGTACTGTGTTCTCCTCCAGGGGAGAGTGTTCCCATCACAAAGACCAGCTTGCCCTGCGATAGCAAGAGCACCCAGCCATGGCATCTCAGCTCACCCGAGGACAGCAAGAGGCACCTTCTTTTCTGCGGGACGGACGTCATCCAGGCCAGGGGAGAGGACAGCGGGCCAGCGAGGGCTGTTGTGCTGCGGACTGGTGGGTGAACAGGCAGGTTGTGTTGCATGTAGTGGAAGGTGTAAGCTAGACGGTGTAAGGGGGACAGCAACCTCCTCCCCCCTCAATGCCTGGACTCCTTGAGATCTTGGAAGCGCCCCCCTCTTTGCTCTTTTCATCCAAACCACCTGATTCTGGCATCCCTTTGGCCATCCGGTGTCCACCCCCAGATCTCTTCTGATGTGGCTTTCAGCCAGGGATGAAGTGACTCTCTGGCGGCTCAGGATGTTTCAAAGGTTCCTCAAGCACATGAGGTCGCTGTGGCTCAACAGGTCCCCCTGTTCACCTGCAGAAAGCACCTTCCCATTCACGCTTACCCTGATCCAGGTAGGAGCAAAAGTCTCTGTCCTTCAGCCTGGTCTCTGATGCGCTGCCTTCCTCTTCCTCCACCTTGTCTCTACTCCAGGCTCTGTGTGAACTGAACTATAAACCTGCAAGCCAAACGGTCTTCCATCTCCTCCCACCCTCAGGATATATCTAACGGTTGCTGTTCCTCTCTCTTCTTCACCATCTCAGGTTTCAGCACAGCCAAGGGAGACCTGGTGAGGTCCATCCTGTATCCCAAGCCTATGAACTTCCGGCTCTACAGAGATGCCATGCAGTTTCTCTTGTGTCTCGTGGCGGTTGCTGGCATTGGAATGATCTACGCTGTCTGTGTCTTTGTAATCAACGGGGTGAGCAACTGGGGAATGGCAGAGTCTGCCCAGGGGCTTCTGCAGGGCAAAGAGGGGAGCCCCTTCCTTGCTCCATCAGTCCTGCTGGGGGCTCTACAAATCCATGTTCCATGCAACAGTTCAGAGTCTATAACTGCTGCAGTTGTCACAGCTTTAGTCTAGAAGGATCTAGATCAGTGTTCCTCAACTTTGGAACTTTTAAGATGTGTGGACTTCAGCTCCCAGAATTCCCCAGGCAGCCACCCAGGCAGCCATGCATCCTGGCTGGGGAATTCTGGGAGCTGAAGTCCACACATCTTAAAGTTGCTAAGGTTGAGGAACACTGATCTAGATTAAAGCGAAGATCTATCTGCCAGGTCAGAAAGAGTGGGCACACTCCAGGTCCCTTCCCTTAAATGTTGCTGTCTCGTGGAGCCTAGGAAGTGTGCCTTTTCCATAGCAGCCCCTGCCCGATGGAGCACCTTTTCCCTTGAGATCCGGTAGGCCCCCACCCTCTTAATCTTCCGGAAAGCCATAAAAACTGCCTTTTCCCCAAGCCTTGGGACAGTAAACTTGAAGCCTGCGGGACTGTATAGATGAATGGGTGTAGTTGTTGGCTTAGGCACCTGGTTTCACTTGGTTTTTATTTTATTATTTTTGTTATTGATTTTATTATTGTTATTGCCACCCAGAGTTGTGTTCCACAAGAAGGCAGAAATAATAATAATAATTATTATTATTATTATTATTGAAAAAGATTGAATCAGCAGAATCTTGCTCTCTTTTCCCTCATTCTCCCATACCTTTGTAGCAATTTTCTCCATGGGAAATTATTTTTTTCTGGCATTTCTTCACAAGAAAACAAGCCTTGGATGGAGTGATATATGAATCCATGAGATTACTGTTGTTTTATCGTGCCAGAGCCAGTCTGGGGTAGAGGTTAAGGCACGAGGCTAGAAACTGGGAGACCGTGAGTTCTAGTCCTGCTTAGGCACAAAGCCAGCTGGGTGACCCTGGGCCACTCATTCTCTCAACTCAGGGTGGGGTGGGGAGAAGAAGGCAGCGGCAAACCACTTCCACAATCGTGCCAAGAAAACTGCAGGGACTGGTCCAGGCAGTCACCAGGAATCAAGACTGAATCGAAGGCACCCCCGCCCACTCAATCAATCAGTCAATCAGTCAATCAGTCAATCAGTCAATCAATCATGATTCCAGTATGAGAAGGGTGACGTTGACTGGGTCCATCGGATTTGGTTTCCTGGGGCAAACAGCTGTGACCGCTCCCATAATGACTGGCCATGCTGGCTGGGGCTGATGTGAGTTAAAGTTCAAAACATCTGGAAGGCAGCTGGTTGCCTCCTTGATGTTCCTTGGTTGATGGCTTTCAAAGAATCTTCTCTGAATTTTCCTAGCATGAAGATGCAAGCTGGTTGAGCACCCATATTCTTTGACGTACAGCCTTTCCATCTAGGCATGGGTTCTCTATCTGCTCTTGCTGACTGCCACCATCCTTCCTTCCACATGTCCACTAGCAAGAGGCAGGAGAAGTGGTGAAGAAAGCCCTGGATGTCATCACGATCGCAGTTCCTCCCGCTCTGCCTGCTGCACTGACCACAGGGATCATCTACGCCCAGAAGAGGTTGAAGAAAAAAGGGATTTTTTGCATCAGCCCCCAGAGGATTAATGTATGTGGCCAGCTGAACCTCATCTGCTTCGACAAGGTGAGTGCTTTCTCTCCCAAGGGAGCCAAGAATTTCAGCTTGAGGATGTTGGTAGATAAATACAGTTGTTGACGAGTGTTGTTGGGTTGCTTTGAAGGCTGCGAGTCAAAGCTCTTCAAGTCCTTGGCTTAGTGGTAGGAGGGATAGAAAACTATGGGGTGGGGAAGACTCTTTGTCATCCAGTGGCCCTGTCTAAGGACACTGGTAACTGTTTAGGAAAGGACAAGTAGGATGATGTGCTGGGATGTGTTTACAAGTCATTTTGCTGACCCAATTGCTCATATGCAGTCCCACAAAGGCAGAATCTGAGGAGGTGTAGTGACATCATCTGGGATTCATTTCAGCTTGTGGACTCTGAGGAAACAGACAGAGTTTTCTGAGGCGCACATTCCTTCACCTGCAGTTTGGATCCTTGTGCCCTGGGGTCATTTGGCCTGTTTGCGTGTGTGTGTATGTGTGTGTGTGTGAGATGGGTATGTAGCTGGATTTGAAAAGTCATTAAATCCCTCTTTGAGAGAGGGGGTGAGGCCACCTGTCCTGAAGGAGGTAGTGCTGCAGACCGTCCTGAAGAAGCCATCTCTTGTGTTGGACAATTCTCCTGGTATCCGGTTTTTCATTTGTATGGAAGGTTTTGGGAAAGGTGACAGTCAGTGCAAAGAATCCTAGATGCGAAGTATTTGGAGTGCTTTCATTTGGGGTTCAGTCCTGAGCCTGGGATGGAACCTACCTCAGTTGGTCTGGTAGATGATCTGCATAGGGACTTGGATGGATGGACTGAGTGGTCTAATGGTCTTATTAGACCACTCAGTGGCATTCAGCATCAGCCAAGGTACATTTGTGGGCCACCCACAAAGTTGAGGAGAGATGGCACCATGTTACAGTGGTTTCACTTCTTCCTGAGTGGGGTGTTTCAGCCACCGGTAAAGGGGAGGAGCAATCAAGGCCTTGGCTCATCCTTTGGGGGGTGACACGAATTCACCATCTCTGTGCAGCTGCTGGAGGAAGTCTTTCATCAGTATCTCCCTCTAGGCTGGTCTGGTCTTCACCCAATGACCAAAGGCTTTGAGGGACTGGATCCCAGTAAGGTGGCCTTCCTGTTTGTTCAAAAACCATCTGGCTCCTTTCTGGCTTTCATGATGGTTTGGGGTGGAGCCCATTGCCAAGATTCAGGACTCCTGCTTGGTCAGCAAAGAGACCAGCTTTGGTGGGTGGGCCAATTGGGACTCTTTTTGGAGCAGGAGTTTTTAATGATGGCAACTCATGCCACCATCCCCTCAAGGTGACATGGCCGCAATGCCTTTTGCTTGGGGCTGCCCTTGAAGACTGCCTGCCTTGGGCAGCTACTCAGGAAAAGATGCTTTGGATCCGTCCCTTTTGTGTGTGTGGGGGGTAGGAGCTTGGAAGCAGGCCTTTTTGTTGTCCCCCCCCCCTTCAGAACAACAGTCATGGCATCCCGGAGGATATTTATTTATTTATTAAATGCATACAGCTGCCCATCTTAAGTGTATAACTCAGCGAGCAATACACCCAACCCAATATAACCCCCCAAACCATTAAAGGTTACAGCACGAAAAAGACGCAAAAGCCCAAGGCACCACAAAACAACTCCATAACACAAAACACACACACGTGTTGGGTTCCCCAGCATCCCGGCCCTGACCCTTGGGAGGAAAGCCACATTTTAACAATCTTCCGGAAGGCCAAGAGGGTCCGGGCCATCCAAATCTCCAGGGGGAGGCCGTTCTGTAGGGCAGGCACTGTGACAGGGAAGGCTCACCTCTTTAGTCTCACAAGATGGCACCGTTTAAGAGAGGGGATCTGGCGTGTGCCCACCCTGTCGCATCTGGTGGACCAGGCAGAGACCCTTGGAGACAGGTGGTCCCACAGGCAACCTGACCCCATGCCATGAATAGCTTTATAGGTGGTAACCAGCACCTTGGACAGCATCCAGAAGCGCAGCTGTGGCGTTGCGTGGCAAACTATGAAGTACTCAGGACTGTGTGAACTGCCACGTTCTGCCCCAGTTCTGCCCCAGTCTCTGAGCGCCCTTCAGGAGCAGCCCCATGTAGAGTGCATTGCGGTAATCCAATGGGGAAGGAACTGAGGTGTGTTCGATGGTGAGCAGAGCATAATTGGTGCACAAGAGAAATCTGTGCAAAGGCCCCCAGGCCACAGCTGCCAACTGCTCCTAGAGCAGGAGCAGAGAGTCCAGGAGGACCCCCAGATTGTCCACCGGCTCTGTCTGTACCCCATGAAGAGTTAAGGACTCTTCTGCCATTTAAGGCTTAAGGAATTTCTGAAGCCCTTTAAAAAAAACTGTTAACTGTTTAAGTTTTAACATTGTTATAGGGAATTATGTTTTATGATTTTATGCGAACTGTTTGGAGTTTGCTGAGCTGGGGTAGGCCATAGGAAATATATGATAAACAGGGGGTCCCAGTGAGTTCCTGGGGGGGTGATTCTGGACTAGAACGTTTAGATCAGTGCTGTCCTCCAGGTAGGCTGAAGTGCAGTTCCCGTCCCAGCCAGCCCTAAGACCTGTCAGCCCCACAAGGTAGGCAGGCCAGGAAACTGACTCCACCGGAAGACTAGAGCCATACTTCATTGAGACAGGCTCCAGTAACAGAACCTTGCAAGTCTGCCCGCGTTTGCCCTTCCTCCCTTTTCCTGCCCCAGGGAGTTGGGCAGGGGGCGGGGGAGCCAGTCTGAGTTTCCTTCTTATGCTTTCCCACCCCCTGGGCTTAACCCATGCTTCTTCTGCCCCTGTGGTGCTAATGGCTACTGGATGCCTTCTCCAAGGTAATCTCTGGGGCTCCCTACAGACTACTACCCATCCTGACTTGGCAATTATAATCACATACTAGTGCATGTTTCAGAAACTTGTTAACCTTATCCATGAGGTGCAAAGATCGGATTTGTGGCACAATTACCCTGAACCCCAAAGAAAGCTCACGAGTGCAAGATTGCATCTGGGAGGACTTGGCAGGTCCTTCTCGCATCTTCCTGCTTCCTGACTGTGCCTGTTGTTTTGTTCTTGCCTCGACTCTGGCACCTGGTGGACCCACTGGCAGACTGGCACGCTAACTGAAGATGGCCTGGATCTCTGGGGAGTTGTTTTGGCTGAAGGAAAGAGGTACCGTCTTCCTGCTTTCCTGCCTTTTTTGACTTCCAGCCACCTGTCTCTAATCTCTCACTGTGTTTTCAACTAACGGCTATATCTGAGAAGTAGAACATATTGCAATCATCTTGCCTAGCAGATGTTGGAAACCTGGGTAACTAAAGGTCCTGATCCTGCTACTCATTGAAGCATATGGGAAATCCAGAGTCTCAGCAGATGGCAACACCTGACTAATCTTGCCTGACTTGGAAGCTAAGCAGGGTTGGCCCTGGTTAGCACTTGAATGGGTGGCTGGGCTGCCACCTGCTGAGACTAGACTGGAGAGTCCACAATCGTCCCAGAAGAAGGCAATGGCAAACAACTTCAGTGTTACTGTCCAAAATCTGGACAGAGATGTCCATGAAGTCAAGCTTGAGTTGAGGGCATCTATCCTGCATTTCAGAAATTCAGTCGGATGAAACCCCAGAATAAAATCTCCATCCCCACAGAAGGTGGATCTTTTCCCTCTTCCCCAGGAGCTCCAGGAAGGTTCCAAAACCCCCTCACTTTGCTGAAACCAGAAGGGTTTTTGCTGTGTCCCATCAGATGCTCACAAGATCTCCTTGCCTCCTAGTTGGCTCCAAGCAAATAGGCTGCCCACCCAAGGTTATCCATCTCAGAGTGGGGGCACAACCCTACTTTGCAAGGCACAGGGGTCCACAGGTCTTGTGGAAGAACAACAGGAGCTGATGCATAATTTCTGGGAAGACCTGGAGGCTCAAAACTCAAGGCAACTAAATATGCCTTCATCTGGGGTGGTTGGTTTCCTGCCTCTGTGGGGCACCCAAGCTTGCCTGTGCAAAAGTGTGTGACTTGCTGTCTCAAACTCAGCTTCCAGGAGGTCCATCGCTTCTCTTCTGGCCGGATGATGCCCTGGAGCCCAGCGTATGCCGCCATGGCCAGCTGCCATTCCTTGATGGTCCTGGATGGGGAGATTCAGGGAGATCCGCTGGACCTCAAGATGTTTGAGGCAACTCACTGGGTGAAGCTCCATGTTGTTCTTTTAGAATTAGCCTACATCTGGGATCGGTGCCGTAGGTGTCCCCTGATGTGGAACCTGTATGAAGTGTGGGCGTGTGAAGTAAGAGGGGAGAGATGCCCCACTTGGCCCGATCTGCAGGCTTCTTGCCTGATTAAGTCCTTGGTGTGCAATCTTTCCTGCTCTCCCTCCAGCCAAACTCACCCCCAAACAGATTCCATTTCACCCACTTCAGTCCCCCTCTTGGGGCAGCAGGCCGGCAACCTTGTCTCTTCACTATGTCCTGGCACGTCACCAAACAATTTGTTTCACCATTAGTTCAAGACCCAGAGGGAGACATCTGAAACAAGCCTAAATGATGCCACGTGGGTCACAGTGTCATCACTCAAATGATATGAATCACATCATTGCATTATTTGCATGTTGGTGATGTCATGATGTGCCCCCCCCCCCGGTGCTGATTTCTTTTCAGCAGTTTGACTTTATCAGAACAGTGTGTTTCTTGAAGCTCTCCAGCTCCTCTTTAAAATTTTGGGTAATCTTGTCCACCTTTTAAACAAACATAGAGCCCATACAAAATAACTTTTCCTTCTGTTTAAAACAACAGGAATTTGTGGACTCCGTTGGTAGAGAAGGAGGACCGGCATACTCTGTGATGGTCAGACCGGGATCTGAAGCTGCGGAGGTGAATGGCCAGTCCTTTGGCCAGCCCTTAACAGCAGGAGGCACAATTAGCAAAGAAGAGAATCTCCTCTCTTCCTTTGGGCATTTGTCCGCCTATAAATCTGTTCAAATTTGCATTAGTAGACATGACTTTTTAAAGCAAAAAATTGCACATGTTTGCATTTTTATATGCACTGCTTTTAAATGTATTTTGATGCTTCTTTTTTAAGCCAGCAACTGCATCACAGCATTTAGGAAATGCAGGATCCAGCAGATGACTAGGTTATTATCTGCCCATCGGCTGGGAAAGTGCACAGCCAATCAGGCGGCATCTACTTGTGCAAAGATCAAACCTCTGAGATCCCTACTTGCAGCTCAGCGCGTGGAGAGCAGCCTCTGGCTGATCCTGTCTATTAAGCTAATCAGAGCAGAGCAGGAGACCACCTGGGCAGGAGACCATCTGGACACCCCAGGGGTGCGGTGCCTGACCCTTAGTCCTGCTGCTAAGAACTGTGCTCAGCTCGACTTGCGAGAGAGGGCTCTGTACATGCTGGTCTCCTTTAGGCCTGGCCTGCTGTAACTGGACCCCTAGATTAAAGCAACTCCATTGAGTTGAGAGATGGGGGTCAGTCTGGACGGGGGCAGCGCAGCCAGCAAGTCCAGCCTTCCCCAGCTGGGCTTCCTCCAGAAGATGGGACCTGCAGTCTGAGTCATCTGAAGACTGCCACGTTGGGGAAGGCTGATCAAGGCCGCGCCATGCCCAGGCTGAGGTCTCCTCGGGCCTTTGCTCTTAGCCTTTACTCTGCCCACTGTGCAACATTAGCTATTTATTTAATCACTTTTCGAAATGCCTGTTCTCATATAATGACATATCCTGCCTGCAGTTCTTAGAAATAAAAAGCAAATTCAAACCATATTAGAAATGGCGCTCCTTAAAAAGATGCCCAACAGACTCACTGAGGCAATGTTCCTGCAGAGAAGCTCTGAGGGATGGAGACTTTCCAGAGGCATTAAAGGAACATGGCTGGGGGGCAAGAGGGGGCATTCCCCACCCCAGAGAGAGGGGGCTTGCGTGCAAGTAAGGAGCAGGTGGGCCCCTGGCAGGGCTCAGCTCGGGGACCAAGCCTTGTGGCCACTCGGCCTGACGCTGTCCGCCCGTCCCCGAGTTGTTGAGTGCCTTTGCTGCGAAAAGGGAAGCCTTGAACTGGCATTGGCTCCCACTTGGCAGCAGAGCAGCTGCTTCAAGCGAGGGGCAACGGGTGGCCCCACTGCCTGCATGAGCTGCAGCTCTGGGGCCAACCGAAGGCACTTGTCCTGCTTATGGTCTAAGACGTTGCGGAGGGGGCGAGTCTGCGGCCACCAGGTGGGTCCATCTCCTGGTGCTGCAGGGACACAAGCCATCGTCCCCCCATCCTGGCCCCTCTGTCAGTTGGGTGGCTTTGGCCACGGGTCCACCTCCACAAGTGGAGAGGGGCCCAAAGCCTGTCAGGGACCCAGCCACGATGGGTGATGGGTGTTACCTCCGGCTGCTGCCAGTGGGCAGAGTGGGAAGCACAACCCGGGGAGCTGGGGTGTAAACCGCTGGGACCCGTGACTCGGTGCGAACCAGGAAGCCCTATTCTGGCTTCACTAGTTGGCCAGCTTCACACGGCATGCTAAAGAAGGTGCTGGGCTGGTTCCCGTGACCGCTGACCCGTCAACGTCCCAGTCCCATTTCTGCGTTATGCGGACCAGGCAGGGCATCGCTACGTGCGCAGGAAACACCTTTTTCTCTCCTGTGGCTGGGAGGCCGGCTCAGCTCCTGCCTTTCTCCCCAGGTGCCCGTGGAGGCGATGGCCGTCCTGCGGCAGTTCCCGTTCTCTTCAGCCCTGCAGCGGATGACTGTGGTCGCCCAGGAGCTCCCCGGGGACTGCCAGGTCTTCATGAAGGGCGCTCCAGAGATGGTGGCCAGTTTCTGCAGGCCAGAGACAGGTGACCCCTGGCCTGGTGGCCCGGCCCCTCAGCTAACAGAGCTTGGCGTTGCTCTGAACCACCCTTCTGCCCGCCGTGCCTGGCTGGGCTGCACAGCAGCGAGGGCTGCAGAGGGAAGGCCCTGCTCTAGCCTGGCGGCTGGGGAGGAGAGGAGAGGAGGCGCTGAGCTCTGGAAGGTCTGAGCTGGGGGGCTTTCTCTGTAGGACCCTAATTTATGCAAGTGCCTGAAGGGAGGTCTTGGCTGGTGCTGGCCCCCAGGGGCACGCGGCCTTTCTCACAAGGGCAATTGCAAGGCGGGCTTCTCGTTTGCTGAGCCCCCCGGCGAGCTCTTCCACGAGCAGCTGCCTGGGAGAGAGGTCACCCAGGGCCTGACTGTCTCCCTCTCCCCCAGTGCCCCCCTGCTTCGCCAGCGAACTCCAGGGCTACACTTCCCAGGGCTTCCGGGTCATTGCCCTGGCACACAAACGCCTGCAGGAAGGAAAGGCGGCTGCCTCTCTGACCAGGTAAGGGGCTTGGTGGCCCAGCGGGCGGGGCAGGAGAGGGACCCACCGCCGCTGCCACCGCTGCCCCTGCTGGCTGCCCGGGGATGGCCAATGCGGGCTGAGACAAGGCGCCTCTCTGGCCCTCAAGGCAGCTCTGCCCCGCCTTGCCTGGCAAACGGTGCTGGGGTAGAGTAGAGTTTCCCACCTCCCGCCTGGAAGGCTGTTTGGAGGACGACCAGCCCCGAGGCTGCCAGGCAGTCTGGCAGAGGACAGG